TCGGTAGATGGCAGCTCTTCCCTTCAAGTCACCGCTAAACTCTTGGGGGATAAAACCCTCCCACCAGAGCCCACTGGAATTCCCACTTGTTTACTGAGTATTTCTGGGATTTGCTCTCTTTAACAATTCAACCCATTGCAAATCTGGGATCTTTTCACCGGTCTGTATGTCACAGTCTGTTCAATAAGATCTTTTCTTCCTCATCCGTTGTGACTTGTCATGGCCTCGGGTCTGCCATGTCAAGGTGACTTGACACTTTTTGTGCCGGGTTAGAGAAGGATCCTTTGATTGCAATGGGTGGTTGGCTTCCACTTCGTTGCTCTCCAGGCTTCCCCTCTGTTTCGCATTGCTCTGCAAGCTTTCCGTGCCTTCGAAGGGTCCCCGATCATGATAAAATCAGAGTCAAAGGACGGAGGTCGTCCCTTTTCTTCTGCACTGCTATGACATCATTACTGGAAATCCTTTCCCCTCCCAATTTTTATACAGCTGTGTGAAAAAGTCCTGCATGGTTTACAGTTTACAGTTTATGACATTTTTTGGATAGGTCATTGATTTTATGATCTTTATGCTAACTGCTATGAAAATATTGTTATATTTAAATAAATACTGGTGGTTTTTAAGTGAAAAGCACAAGCTTTTTGCAATTTGGTGCTGTTTGGATGGGGATTGTGAATTTTCTTGTATGTTTACAATGCATGCTTACAATGACTATGAAAAGAGATTAATTGAGTTCCAGTTTGAGTCTCTTCGCAGACAGACCGAAACCGCGATCGTGCATAGTTTCGATCTGTGCTCGCCGCTGGAGCGCCCCAAGCTGGCTGGTTTGGGGGCTAAGCCACCCCGTAGAGATGGTGAAGAGGGGGGAGACTGCCAGCAGGGTTGAGGAAAGCCGCATCTCTCCTCCTCAGCTGGCCATCACTCCCTTTCCCAAAGGTGGTTGCAGTGGTGGTCAGAAATGGCCGCCTCAAAGAAGAACTTGACTGGAAAAGAATGTGCAGGAGGAAGATAAGAAGAGAAAGTCTTGGTTGACCGGGTAAAACTGTAAAAGCAACAACTAAGGTACCCTGCAATTTAAACTATAAAAAAAAGTAACATTGTTCCCAAAGAAGATTTTGAAGCAGCGAAGGAGAGAGAAAAGGGAAAGGATTTGGGTTTTTTTCTTCTCTCCCTTTCCCTATACTGATAGCTAAGAGATTTAAATAAGAAATTGAAAAAAAAAAATCCACTTTGACATCAATAGGCATTTAACCTGAAAATAAAATGTCAAAGGGATAATAAAGATTTCTGGATACTTAAAAGCTTTTAAAAGCAGGAAAAGAGAGAAAAAGAATAAAAGGGCAGGATCTGGAAAAAAGGGAGGAGACTCCCTGGAATTAAAAGGAATTTACAGTAAAACCTTAAGAAGACTTCTAAAAGATACATTTTAACTGAAACCTGGCAACAAAATAGTAGAACCCCAGGAAGAGAAAGTAGAAAAAAGAAGCAAGAAGAAACAGCTTGGGAGTATTTAGATTATTTGGTGATCTCTGGATTTTTCGTTATTGCATTTGAGTGACTAAAATCAATTGGCTGGTTGTTTTGAAGTGTTTAAAATGGCACTACTTTTAGAAGAACTGAAAATGGAACTTAAAAAGTACAAAGAAGATGCAAAAGAAGGGAGAGGTTCTTTTGGCTTCATATTTCAGTTCTTAGAAATGGAGATTTGGAACTATGAAAAACAACAAGAAACACCTGCAGAACAAGAAGATTGGGACAAAGAAGAAGCCATCTTTAATGAATAAGTAATTTTATGTGGGGGGAAAAAGGAAAGGGGGGAAAGAGAACGAAAAGTCTAAGATTTGAAAAAACAACCAAGAAAAAGAACAATAGTTTGAAAAATAAGTATAATATTAGAAAGCAACAGAAGAGGGAAATACAGAAGAGAGAATTAGAAGTAGAGAGACAAGGGGGTAAAAAGGGGAGGCAGAAGAAGAGAGGGAAGAAGGAAAGGAAAAGAAGTTATAAATGACAGAAACAAGATATGGAGAAACGGCCTATTTAGAGATAATGGGTGAAAATTTAATTGAAAAAGGGATTCTGCAAAGGTACATAAGATAGTATTGTTATATTAGAAATAGAAATAATTTTAGAAAATATGAAACAAGGTATGATTAAAATGATGGATAAAATAGTTATTGTAATCTAGTGAAATGTTTGTTAATAAATAAATGAAATAAAATGAATGAGAGAATTGAATAAGGAAAGGATGGGAACGTTTTAATTATTTAATGTTTTATAAAATATAAGTGAAGAGAAATAGGGGGGAAAATTAATTATGGAAAGCTTATAAGTGTTCCCAAGGAAGTATGAAATTTAATTGAAAAGAAATGTTAAAGATATTAAGATTTTAATGAATATTAATGATAGAACTGAATTGCAATGGAATGAGTGTTTTAATTACATATATTTATAATCTCTTTTTAAGAATATAGTGTGTATTTTAAGAATGTACCAAGCAGAATTCGATTGGAAGTTATGTGTTATATTGAATGTTATAACCTTAAATGTTATAACATTGAAGCTTAAATAAGAGTTGAATGGATAAAATTAAAAGATATAAAGGTGTCATACTCCAATTAGTAATTACAGGAGAAAATTTGTTTAATGAGAAAAGATAATATGAAATTGAAACAGGACAGACAAAAAGTATAAATATAATGAGTTGAATTGAGATGAGATAACCAAAATAAAACTGAGAAAATTAAAAGAGGAGAAAAACTTTGTAGAAAATGTAAAACAGTAATAAGATATGGAATAGAACATAAAAATGAGCATGAAATTGAGTTTGTCTGTATGAAGAAGTGTAACCCGGGACCATGCTATTTTCAAAAAAGATGTTTTATTTGTACTATGTTTTTTTGTGTGTGACAACCCAAATAAAATTTTCCAAAAAAAAAAAAAGAAAATAGATTAATTGATGCATAGCCAGTGGCATAAGTGTTGCAATTACTAAGGCCGATGCTAGTGTTTTGATAACATTTTTATTGTTTGTGGCCCTGAAAAGGACCGTTTAGGTAACCAAACATGGTTACTAATATGAGATTGGCCAACCCTTATTGCTTATCACCAGGGGGGCCTCCGGGTGGATGCCATGGCCGCCCACTTGGAGCACTGGTGCTACCACCACCAGGCACTAGATCCCATGCAGCCCAGCTCCCTGCCTGGGGAGCTTTCTGGGGAGCGCTGCCACCACTGGGCACTAAATCACGCCGTTTTTCAGACATGTTAAGCTTGCCATTGAAGGAAGTTTGTAATGAGCTATTATTGGAAGCCAAATTGCCAAATACATGGATAGAAGTAAATATTACGCTAATACCAAAAGAGGATGTAGATCTGACACAGATTAAAAAATTATAGACCAATATCTCTATTAAATGTGAACTATAAAATCTTTGCTTCAATAATAGCAAAGAAACTGAACATTTTTGACTGAATTTATCCACCCAGATCAAAATGGTTTCTTACTAAAAAGACAAATAAAGCACAATTTAAGGATTATGTTAGATACATTAAAATATTATGAAACACATCCAGGAAAACAAATGGCACTAATTTTCTTAGATGCTCAGAAGGCTTTTGGTAATGTAAGTTGGCAATTTATGATACATAAATTAAACTGTATGGACTTTGGAGAAGAATTTATAAATGTAATTAAGATGATATATTATAAACAAACAACTGTTTATAACAAGTAACTGTAAATGGGGACTACACAGAATTTTAATATAAAGAAAGGAACAAGACAAGGATGCCCATTATTGCCTTTAATATTTATATTAACTTTGGAAGTCTTGAATAGGAATATCAGGCAAAATCCAGAAATTAAATGATTGGAGATAAGAGAGGAAAGATATAAACTACAAGCATTTGCAGATGATTTGGTATTCATTGTAGAAGAACCGTTAGAGACAATTCCTATTAAAAGAGATGAAGGAGTTTGGAGAGGTAGCAGGACTAAGAATAAACAGAAAAAACTAAAGTGATAGTTAAAACCTTACACAAAAACAAAAGAAAAACTGGCAGAAAAAGTGAATTTTCAAATAGTTAAGAAAGTCAAGTACTTGGGAATATACTTTCTGTTTGGAACTCTGCACTTTGATATAGCCCATGGGCTAATCAACATAGTAAACTATTAGAACAATACTTCCAAGAATTTAATCTATTATTTGAAATTGAGAGTGGTGGATGACTGCTGCCTGTCATGGGCTAGGGAAGCTAGCAATAGGTCAGGGCTATATTGTCATCACATCTCATGCATATCTTTTGGATGGCTTCAGCAACCAGGACCCCCATTTTGCAAGAATGCTAAAGATATACTGTCAACTATCCAAAATACTGAATACCTTTATTCTTGATTAGCATCTTATAAAATATTGAACTAAAGAGTAATTGCTTTATTGTAATACAAACTAAAGATAGGGGAATATTTTCAATTTCTTAACATACAGTGTCAAGAATTGTAAAAGTCAGGAATGTGTTTGCTGGCATACAAAGCCTTCAAGATGTTCCAAAAAGCATATACTCATGCAATATTCAGTGTTTTGTTTTTGACAAATATCAATAGGTCATTTTTTCATGTTGCGGTATATATACAGTAAATGGTTGAAATATATGTTTTGCATTCAATACTGATTGTCCATTGTCCATTTTTAAGTATTACTCTAAATGTATAAAAAATTACGGCATAGCTTGTTATGTATGCAGTTCAAGAGTACATTCCAGGTTCAGTGGGAAAAAGAAAAAGATCAAAACATGTCCAAATGAAGATTAAAGCACCCCTATTGGTTTTCCAAAATGGTGAAGATGCTTTCTGTTTGATGATTAGAATTGTAATTGTACATGCCAAGATATGTGTTAGAACCAAAACAGTTTCTATTTTTCCAATTTTAACTTAGGAAGAACTTGAAAGTTTTGGCCTGCAGATGCTAACTAATTGGTTAATCATTATTCTTTCTTCTTAGATTTGGAAATCACTATACCAGTTGGACATTCTCAGATTATGCCAAAGAAACCAGAGTGTAGCATTTATGAATATAGTCCGAGAAAAAATCTTTTCCCAATAAGCAAAGAGATAAAGCGAGGTGACTGGAAAACAGAAAGCACATCAAGTACTGCAAGTAAGCAAGCAGGTAGCCAGAAAGCTATCTAGCAAGGAATGAAGAAGTATACTTTGGATTTCAATAGTTTGCATTGCTCAGATTAAGGAATTCCTAACCTATAATTTGATTCTTCACATTAAATGTATTGTCAAATCTCTTTTCTTCCTGTCTGGCTCTCTTGATCACCCACTTCAACTCTACCTGTCTATTTAGTCATTTATTTATATCTTTGCACTATATTTGTAGGTACATTTATTTAATATTGATTCTTACTTTTATTACTTTATTGCTATCAATTTATAGAATCCATTACTGTAATTAATCTTTTTTAATTCTTTAGCCCTTTAAGTCATAATCACTCTTTTTATACTATCCTCCTATAAATTTTGCAGTTATACTTGACCGCTCGGTGGCTTTGGATACCATCCACCATGGGATTTTCCTGGGGCAGCTTCGGGGGATGGGAGTGGGATGCCTTGTGCTGTCCTGGTTCGCTTCCTTCCTCTGCGGCCACTCTCAGTCAGTGTTGATAGGAGGGGAGAGATCCAGCCCTTGCCCACTGCTTTATGGGGTTCCACAGGGCTCGGTACTCTCTCCGCTCCTGTTCAACATTTATATGAAGCCACTGGGTAAGATCATCCATCACCATGGACTGAGGTATCATCAATATGCTGATGATACCCAGCTGTATGTCTTGGCCCATGGCGAGTTAAGTGTTGCTGTGTCCTCCCTCTCACAGTGCCTGGAGGCTGTTAGCGCCTGGATGGGGAACAATGGGTTGAAACTAAATCCTTCCAAGATTGAGTGGCTCTGGGTTTGGGGTTCATTGGCTCAGGGAGAATTGCCACCTTTGGTCTTGGATGGGGTGGCACTACCCCAAACAGATCCTGTACGTAATCTAGGTTTTTTTTCCTGGACTCACAACTCCTGCTTGAAGAGCAGGTGGCAGTCGTGGCCAGTAGGGCCTTTGCGCAACTTTGTGCACCAGTTACACCATTTCCTGGACCAACAGTCCCTACTCACAGTCACTCATGCCCTAGTCACTTTCTGTCTTGACTATTGCAATGCACTTTACATGGGGCTGTCCTTGAAGAGCATCCGGAAGCACCAGTTGGTGCAAAATGCAGCGGTCCACATGGTTTTGTGCAGACCCCAGTTGCACATGTATCATGTCTTCTGCGGGAGCTGCATTAGTTGCTGATTTGTTTCCAGGTGCAATTCAAGGTGCTGGTTGTCACCTTTAAAGCCCTTCATGGCTTGGGATCAGGTTATCTGAGGGACCATCTCTTACCAGTCACATCTACCCGGCCCATCAGAGCAGGGAGACAGGGAATGTTGCGGGTCCCATCCCCAAGGGGGATACACCTGATGGGACCCAGAAGGGCCTTCTCTGTGGTGGCTCCCTCTCTCTGGAACATCATTCCCTCAAAGATTAGAATGGCCCACACTCTTCCAGAAGGCACTGAAGACCTGGTTCTGCCAGCGGGCCTGGGAAACCCAGAGCGGGATGGAGCCCATCAAATAGCTTGTGTGATCTGCTGTCATCGGGGCGGCGGGTGGGAGTTGGTGGGTGATTTTTTTTTCCAGATTTTGTTCTATTGTACTTTATTAATTTATTTGATTCTTTTTGTTAGTTTTTATTGTTTTAAATGTGGTTTTATATTCTGTAAGTTGCCTCGAGTCACCATGGGCGGCAATATAAATTCAATAAATAAATAAATAAATCTTTTTAATTCTTTAGTCCTTTAAGTCATAAGCACTCTTTTTATACTATCCTACTATATATTTTGCAGTTATACTTCCTATAGGCACAGTATTAAACATTTTCATTGTATACAGCCTTGTGTTTAGAATCACCTGAGCCACTTGTGTGGGTTGTAGACTCCATCTCATGCTACCACTAGAGTGAAAGCACCGCCAGCATTCAAAAGTGACCAAACCATCAGCCAGAAAGCATAGGAACTGAGAAGTGGTCTGTGGTCACCACCTGCAGAACCACTCCTTTATATACCACTCCTTGCTAACTGCCTATGCTTTCCACCTGCTGTCTAGTCCATTTGCACAGCAGCATGTGAAATTGATTGTCAATCAGTGTTGCTACCTAAGTGGACAGTTTGATTTCACAGAAGCGTGATTGACTTGGAGTTACACTGTGTTGTTTAAGTGTTCCCTTTATTTTTTTGAGCAGTGTATATTGCAAATCTACAAATATAGGCTTGGAATTCTGATCATTCTCTCATTTTCTTGAAGAAAAAAAATCATAATTTTAAGAATAGTGAAAATAAGCATAAAATATATGATGAGACTCTGAATTATATCTGTCACTATCATTCCCATTGGGCATACTAAATACACGATGGGAAATTATTAATATGTGCACATATTTATGAATAATATAAACTGATTTTTGTGACATTGCATGGGATTATATAGAATATATAGATATTATATATATATTATATAGATCAGGGGTCCCCATACTTGGCAATTTTAAGACTTGCGGACTTCATCTCCCAGAATTCTGGGAGTTGAAATCCACAAGTCTTAAAGTTGCCAAGTGTGGATATCTCTGATATAGATTATAGATAAATTACTTTTGTTTTTTAATTGCTGCTTATTCAAAAGCAAGAAAGAATAGTGTTTAATAGTTCAAGAATGACTAAAGCTTTGTAGGAAAATATTGGACTAATTAAAAATATATGATAAACCAAAATATGTCAGAGTTGGCAAAAATGGGTGGAAATTTAAATTAGTGGAGTCTACTATAAAATGCTTATTTTCTCCTCTAACCAGGCAGTTCAAGTAACCGATCAAGTACCCGAAGTCTGTTGAGTATCAGTAGTGGAATGGAGGGTGACAATGAGGTAAACTTTATTTGTGCAATCTTTCTT